CTTTGATGAACCCATGCTGATTGCCCCTGAGCATGATCTCCCCTGCTGGCCCCCCACAGATGTGCTCCTTGATGATTCTCTCTAAGATCTTCCTGAGGACCGAGGTGAGGCTTACGGGCCTATAGTTACTTGGGTCCTCCTTCCTCCCTTTCTTAAAAATGGGGACCACATTAGCCAGTTTCCAATCCTCCGGCACCTGGCCAGATGACCATGAATGCTCATACAACCGGGCCAAGGGCTCCGTGATGACCCCTGCCAGCTCCCTCAATGCCCTTGGGTGGGGGGCATCTGGACCTGCAGATTTAAAAATGTCCAGCCCTTCCAGAAGATCCCTAACTACATCTGCACTGACCCAAGGCCTGACAGAGCTATCCCTGAGATTGTCCCTACCTCTGGTAGGAGGGATGTCCCAGTTCCTGTTCAGGAAAACAGAGGCAAAGAAACTTTCTCATCTGGCATAGCCACAAGGTTACTATTTGAGTTTTGCAGGGGCCCTACATTACCTGGTGCCCTCTTCTTGCTCCCAATGTACTTGAAAAAGGACTTTTTGTTGTCCTTAATCCTGGATGCTAGCCTGAGTTCCATCTCTGCCTCGGCTTTCCTAATAGCCCTCCTACACTCTCGGACGGTGGAGGAGTACTCCTCCTTGGTGATAGCCCCTCCCTTCCACTGGTTGTACATCACCCTTTTAGTCCTCAGGCATTCCTGAATGCCTTTGCTGAGCCAAAGGGGTTTCTGAGCACTCTTGCCCCCTTGCTTCTCTCAGGGACTGTTACCCTTTGGGCCTGGACAATCCAAGGTATGACCATTCCTTATGGACTCCCATCTCCCCTACCTTCTGGGCCCTCAGTGCCTCCCCCACTAGTCTCCTAAGCTCATTGAAGTTGACCCTTCTGAAGTCAAGGGCTTTAATTTTGCTATAAGCCCTTGACACCCTGTGTTGGATAGTGAATTCCAGCAGGTGATGATTGCTATTGCCCAGGTGCTCAAGGACCTGCTGCCCCTCACCAGGTCATCCCCAGTGGCCAGGACCAAGTCTAGCAAGGCGTTATCCCTACTGGGGCTGTGCACCTCCTGGATAAGGTGAAGGTCCTGTAATACAGCCACGAACCTACGCAAGCAGTCAGACCTGGCTGTCTGCTTCTCCCAGCAAATGTCTGGGTCATTTAGGTCACCCATGACAATGACATCCCTTGACCTAACTGCCTCCATAAGCTGACTGGAGAAGTCCCGGTCCAGCTCTTCCCCCTGGTTGGGTGGTCAGTAGTAGACACCCACTGTAAGGTCCCTTTTGCCACGCCCCCCTTATCAGTTGACCCGCAGTGTCTCTGCCGAACCCTCCTCTAACCCAAAGCTAACCCTTGATGAAGTCCACTTATGGCCTTATTACACCTCACACTGTAAGCCAAACAACTGTTAATCAGCTTTGTGTTGTTTGGCTTAGTGGAGCACCTGTCTGTCCTTCACCTGCACAGCTTTGACTTGCCACTAGAGGCTTAGTGAGCAGAGGCAGGATTAAGACTTGGAGAAGGGGCAGGCAAAATGTGGCCCGCGGGCCAGATGTGGCCCACCAGCCCATTCTATTCAACCCACAGAGCCCGGAAAAAATTTAGAAAATGAATCTTTATCTGCCAGTGGCTGCCTGTCATGTGGCCTGTGATGGCTTGTCAAAACTCAATAAGCAGCCCTCTGCCTGAAATAATTGCCTGCCCCGATCTAGAGGCAGAAGCAGCTCATTGCTTCCGCCTGGCAGAGTGAGTGCTACAGCCCTGGAGAGCCCTGCAGCCATGGTGCCTCCTGCTGCCACCCATACCAACTTGTTGCTTGAGCTCTGAGAGGCCTGATCCCTTTTTTCTCTGGAGGTCTTCCCCCCCTCCCACTTCCCTCTCCCCCTCTCTTCTGCACACCACCCCTGCCACCATCTGAGCTCTGAAAAGGATCAAGCCCCTTGGAGCTCAGACTGCACCAGGATTGGGCCCCTCAGAGCTTAGGTGGCACCTGGCCAGCTGGCAGCTTCCCACCTACACTGTCCTGCCTGGACTGCTGGCTGGCCAGGGGGCCGCCTGAGCTCTGAAAAGGTTCAGAGTTCAGATTATTGAATAACCTTTGGAACTCAGGCAGCACCCTGCTGGCTGGCAGCCTTGGAAAGGGGTTGAGCTGCCAGCCAGTCAGACACCTCCTGAACTCCAAGGGACCCAGTCCTTTTTTCCTCTGGAGCTTGCTCCCTATGGACCACTGCTGGTGGGAGCAGTGAGCCAGTGTGGGTGGTGGTGGGTGGCACTGAGGCCACTAAGCACTCTGGGGCTGCAGCACTTGTTCTGCCCAAAGTCCTTTGAGGGCAAGGAACTATGCCCAGCCCCACCTCACCCTGGCATCCCCACTTGCCCTGCCTCAGGAGGGGACACTGTATTCTTGGATGCTCGAACACTTCAAATTTGGCAGAATAGCTGTAGGGAGTGGTCAAACCTTAACAGGAACAGGAACAAATTTAGGTAGAGTACAGACAATCCTGCCCTGGACTGCCATAACTTTAAGCCAAATAATGAGTGCTTTAAGCCACTTACTATGCTTTGCTGCAGTACTTTAGTACTTCCTTTTGGAGGTGCTAAAGCACGGTGCGGTAACCACCCATATTGCACCATATGCGCAGTGCACATTTAGATTTTGCCACTACATTGCTGTAGTGGCACGCTAAAATGGAGGAGTGCACCACTATGGCAACAAACCTGCCAATCACGTGTAGACCCACATGATCGCTACATCATTGTAACGCGCCATACAAGAACATAACACATTGCCATGGCAATGTAGGGCAATGCATATATATGCCTTTAGAGGTGTTAACATGCAGCCAATACAGGAGTTAAGAGCTCCAGAAACCACCTAAATTTACCATGTAACAAGGCCCTTACATGCCTAATAGGTGGAATAGATCTGGCCTCCAGTGTATGCATGCAAATCACAAAATTGGTTGCCCAGGGCTCCAGCTTCAAAAGGAGGGCTAAATAAGAGGCCATGTGATGCACAAGGGTTACAGAACTACACTGAGAAGCCAAGAAAATAGTGTTAAACCCCCTCTCAGCCAAATGTCCCTAAAACCAGGTCTCCTTTTCCCTTTTCCTGGGCAAAGGCTCTAACTGCTCAGATATTAGAATTGAAACATTAAAGGACCCTCCTTCTCAGAAATGCTCAGAAATACATGTACCTGCCTGGCCACCTTATAGCCTACTGACCTTGTGCAATATAGCTAAGTATGATTATGCATCTACTTTGCAGTGTAATAAAATCACAAACTGTGTGTAAGTGTCAAAAAAACTGTTTACGCATGGAAAACTGTCATTTAGGTGTAAAATTCCATCCCATAAATGCCCTTGTCAGAGGGTGTGAATTTCTGCCTGGCTCAGCTTGGCATCCTGAAACTATGAAGGGAGCATCAGGGTTGTTCCAAATGACCTCTGCACCCTATGGCATTGATCAGAACTATTCCACAGGGTTTCCAATCAGTATGTCAATGGGTCAGTGAAAATCCTAGCATCTGGGTTGTGCAACCATCACCTGCACATCAAATCAACATTCCCAGATAGCTCTGACAGAGCCAGAACCACCAGGCTTCTTGTCTTGATCCCAGAATCAAAATAATAGTGGTGTAGTAGTAGTAGTAGTAACAACAACAACAACAATAATAATAAGGCTTTGTTCCCTTTGATAGCTCCAGTGGGAACATAGAAGATAGCACCAGTCAGCAGAGTCTGGTGTATACCAGCAGGGAGTCTGGATGGAAAGGAGAAGGAAAAGGAATTTGTTATGTGGGCAAGGTAGGGGGGAGGGGTTGATCAACTGCAGGGCTCAGGAATGGAAGGAGCTGAACTCCTTCACAGTTTCTTAATTTTAGGTCTTCAAGGGACCATTATAATCTTATCTAGCCTCCAGTACAGCACAAGCCCCTGAATGCCACACAGTTGTCTTATCACAGGAACCTGGGATAAAATAAGCAGATATTATAGCAAGGTTCCTTCAAGACTGCTGCCAAGAAACTCATCTTTCAGTTGCAAGAGTCTTGACAGTCTTTGAGCCTTCCTAAGCATAAATACTGCTGACGCAGTTGAACACCTTGTAGTTAAGGGGGCAAGGTTCTGATTCTATAAAAGAGGAAGCAGGATCAGAGAGAGGTATTTGGTTTTGGGTTTCAGTTACCTGTGGCCCTTGCAAAATCCTTCTCATCAGCTCAAGGTGAATAATTGTGATTCAAAAGCACAATTATTAAGTAAAGCAGAACCAGATTTCCATAGTCTGCACTGTACAAGGACAGAAGTGTAACCGGTTTCAAACTGTGGGGGCTGAACTGTCATAACTATTCTTCAAAATGCTTAACCTTTTTAAAGAAGGGCTCTAAGAAGAAAGTCTATCAGTCTGACCACTGGTACCATCACAGACTTTAGACAAGGGTCAGTAGAGCTGAGGAATGGGGGTACCACATCTCTTAACAGGAATATAGCCTGTCATCCAGATAATCAAGTCAGAAACTGAAAGGGTTGGATATCAAAAAAACAAACCTTGCATTAATTAGCATGAGATCCAGACAGGGTCAGTAGGGGGCTTCAGAACATGTGCATGTTAGAGGTGGAGGCCTTTCATGCATGTATTACTGGGCAGCTTTGGGAGCATCACTGTCAATATTTGATTGATTTCATCATGATAGTATCTTGCCCAATATTTTTGCTTTTCCTTTTTCTCTGTTATAGGGACACATACAGTTAGTAGCATGCTGATAGCCAAACTGCTCAGGATTATTTCATATTAAAATGCATGAAGAACTGTATGCATGGACAGATCTCACTGGTTTCTCTGTAGATCGGGAGACTCAAAGCTAGTCTATACAGACCATCTTTCCTGCCCACTAGCCTAATATAGCTTACTTTAATTGGCATAACACCATTGACTCTTCTAGATTACACTGGATTTACTCTGGAATGAGAAGAGAAGTGGGCTTCAAATAAGAGTAGAGAGAAACACAGAGAAAAGGGTAACCTATTGCCTGTGGATTGATAAAATTTCCCTATATTTTCCCTATGCAGGCTACACAGGCAGGTCAAAAGTTTTCTATTCCATCCCCAAGTTTTTGTAAGTCAAGTCCAGGCCTCTCGGAGGTAAAGCAGCCTCCATCCTATGAGGATGCAATAAAGCAGGTAACTGCATGGTTTTTATTTCCTATAGGAAGAGGTCATACCATTTTGAACTTGTTTTATTTTTATTGAGTTTCATGCAACTAGTAGCTGTGGAAGTTACAGCATGTTGCATGGCCTCTAAGTAAAACTGGCCTGTTTCCATATTTGTTTGAGGAATAGATTTAAATTAAGTTTTAATTGTTAATACAGTTTCAATATGACAGAAAAACATCCTGCTTGATTCTCAGAAAGGCAGTTAGCTGTATTAGTCTGCAGTCAGGAAAAAGGCAGGGCAGGGTGGCACCTTACAGACTAATTTGCTGAGGGGTATAATCTTTCATAGGCTACAGCCTACTTTATCAGATGTTCAGAAAGGCACCTTCACTTCTCTTAGTAGTGCCCCATCCCCCTAACCTTTCCTCTCCTTCCCCTATCCTTTGTATTTCAATGACTTTATTCCTTTTTATTTAGTACTCCTGCTCTCTGCAAGCCCATTCATGGCATCTTATGAAGTAGGCTGTCACCCACAAAAGCTTATGCCTTTCTGAATTAGTCTTTAAGGTGCCACCCCACCCTGTGTTCTATATGTTAAATTAACACTGTGTTGATGAAAGATGCTAGACTGACAACCTGGAGACCAGCACCATGGCCAAGCATATCAGAGACTACCAGTGATAGGGGATGCTTCAGTGCTTGGTTATCCAAACTGAGGTACTTCAAACGGTATGAGTCTAAAATAGGGGCAGGCAGAATATGGCCCACGGGCCAGATCCAGCCTGCCAGGCCATTCTATTCAGCCTGTGGGGCCCCTAAAAAATTTTAAAAAGTAATTTTTATCTGCCTCTGGCTTCCTGTCAAAGATGACAGGCAGCCAGCAGCAGTAGGACCCAGGGGGGAGCCTGTAGCAAGACCCAGTGGCTGAGCATCAAGGCTAGCCCAGCTCCTCCCCATCCCAAGCCCCCCCCCCCCCTTACAACCCCCGCCCCCCACCCGAAGCTTTTTGCGCTTTTCGTCCCCGC